TGCCAACACGACAATTTTCAAGCAATGTTCCTCTACCGTGAGATTTCGATGACTTCATGGCCTTCACTGACTACGTTGTGCCACTTAAATAAGAGATAATCCCCAAAATAGTTGTGAAGCATTTTTAATGATTCCGTTTCTGCGATTCCATAGAAAACACATTATGTCAACCACACTCATTGTGAAAGTTTCCATCATGGTAAAAATTGCCCAACAAAATATTCGCGTTGTTAACAAACAGCTGCCAAATACACATACTACGCATGAATACTACATATGCATATGTATGTGTGTAAAACAACTTATATTCATATGGACCTGTTTAAGTCAAATTTAATCTGATCATTGTGAACTTGAAAGCTGAAAGATATTCAGAGAAATGTGAAAATATGGAAACCGCTCCYTTAAAGATTCCTAAGGGAAATTATAACTTAACTAATATCATCATACTTACTTTGAAATAAATAAAGCGTCAGTATTATGAACATTATAGACATTGAGTTAATTGGAGAAACACTCCAAGCAATAATGATTAAAAATTTACCTAAAACCCCAATTTAACATTAATTCACATAATAGGTGGCGAAATCAAGCAATGTTACAATTATTATACTTTATTTTAGTTCACCTTTTATTTCCCCTCTATACGCTTGTCCCTTATAAGTACGCAAAATAGGGGTCCCCACATAATGACCAAAAACGTATCTGTGCGACGAATAATAATAAACCCTTAAGACCATGGTGTGYATTCTTCTTTGAAGGTTTCCAAAATGCAAYGAAAATACCGAAGGAAGGACGCCGTGTCAATAATTATAAACTGATTTTAGTACTCTGCTAAATTAAAAATGTAAAACACGGTAAAAGAAACGCGACACATGAATCAATCAATCGAGTGAACCTCTAAATATATTTCTGAGTTATTGGCCTTATTAATATGAGACTATGTTTGAGCTGAGAAAACTTTCCTTGTGCTTGCGTGAACTTCTACAAGACGAAATATCTCCTGTYATCAAACAAACAGTCGTCGCACTTGCGACTTGACTCCAAACGTTCCAAACTCTATTAGTCACGGTACACAAATCGATTTTTTTATAGTGGAGGATCAAGAATTTTAACAAGTGAAGCGAAACGATACAGTGAGATCACATTTATGGAATCTAGAAAACAGCTTGTGACTCCCCAACTGGAACAAAGTACGACGCATCAAATTGCGCAAGGCATTTAATACGTCTAACAGTCAATGGGGATATTTAGTGCAGAGAAAAACATCTCATTCAACCCCTAGAGTTAGGAAAATAGGTTAAATAACATGACTTCTACTTCTGTAGTACATAATTTCTAAGCTAGGTCGTGGCACTTTTTAAAGTTTTCCATATCGAATTCCGTTTATTTAAAATTTTTAGCAACATTTACCACAGAGCTGTAGCCAGARGAGCGGCAGCATAATGAGCTGCGACCAAAGGAGCAGCAGCGGCATAACGAGCTACGACAGGGGCTGCGGCAACAACTGGAGCGGCGGCGATGCCATTGTAGATACGAGCGATCACTTGACTGCTGCGCAAGCGATCAGAGCGAAGAGAACAGCGGCCTATAAGTACCAAGTATTGAAGATTACAATGTACTCGTATTATAAGAATATCACTGTAGAATATTAGCGACTCACGTATCTGAACATTTTTTATTAGTTTTTGTRTGCGTGCTTTTGAGTAAATTTAGGTAAATGTTTGATAACTTTCTGTAGTGTTGCAGGATTTTTGTAGTACCTCAATGAAGGTATTCTATGCCGAGTGAATGAATTAATCACTAGATACACTTGTTCAAAGAAAATGTGTGCGCCCAAATGTTTACTTCCATTTAATTGTAATTCAGAGCATTTTACGATTTGACGACTTTGTTTATATTRTCTAAAATTGTTAAGCGCAAAGTCGAACGGTAATACTGGTTATAAATGTTTGCTGCTTATAATGCTGAAGCGAGCACTTTGCAATCACTCATGAAGGTGATAATGCGTAAACTTGCATATATTTTGCATTTCCAATGTCGAAAATTACCATATCGGAAATTACCATAAATATCAAGGTGAGATCAAACCATAGGCGTAAAATATCGATTTGAAAAGTATATGCAGTGTCCACTTATTTTATTATGCAATTAACTGTAAAATATTCAAAAAATTTTTTTTTTTTTTTAATGCGATCCTCGACAATCAGTATAAATATGCAACCAATTTTGGTATTGGGTATCATTAAATCTCTAGCTTTTGTAAAACAAGAGGCATAAATAACAAAACACCCTCCAAAATGTTCAAATACGTGAGTTCTCCACTTGCTGGACTGAACCAAGAMKATTGTATCCARCAACTTTAACTAAAATACCTTCCATATATTTCTAGGCAGTTGTTGTCTTCGCCATCATCGCCTGCGCAGCCGCCAAACCCGGTCTCCTTGCTGCCGCTCCTTTGGCTTACGCCGCTCCTGCTGCCGTCGTTGCTGCTCCAGCCCCAGTAGTGACTGCCACCAGCAGCCAAGTGATCGCWCGCAACTAYAATGGAATCGCCGCTGCCCCACTTGTTGCCGCCRCACCAGTAGCCGCMCCTGTTGTTGCCCGCTATGCCGCCGCTCCAGTAGCCGCCCCTATTGTCGCTGCTCCAGCTCCAGTGATTACCGCCACCAGCAGCCAAGTGATCGCTCGCAACTACAATGGMATCGSCGCYGCACCCGTTGTTGCCGCAGCCCCCGTGGTTGCCCGTTATGCCGCTGCTGCTCCTTTGGTGGMGTCGCATTATGCCGCAGCTCCACTTGCCTCTTCTTTCCTTTGGTAAATAAAGGATTTCTAAGAGAAATGGAAAGATCAAATAACGAACGTGAAATAAAGAAATCGAATTGAAAGAATCTAAGGGCTTTATTTTATTTTGTATTGTTCTAATCTCAGCTGGAGGATCACGTAAGTGAGGAAAGTTCTCTGATTAGTACTTACTTGAGAATGGCCCGAAACGGTTCTTTTATATATGGCCGCTCTCGACTTCCGGTCTTAGGCCAAGTATCCTCTGATTAGCCAAAAAAACATCCGTTTGAAGCCGGACGGAAGTAAGAAGGCGAACCATGCCTCCCCAGGGTTGTGCGCTGCATTTGGAACCCGCCACATAAAAAACGMCCCCAATAAAAACAAGCAACAGCCTTCAACCCGTCAAAAAGAAGAAACGACGGGTGCGCCGAAGAGGGGAAGATTATTCTCACCTAAAGCAGTTGACCCACAGTTCCCGTAGCAATAACTYTCGAAAATCAGCACTCGCCTAGCATTATGTCAAACTAAATGGTATTTGGT